GGTCAGTACTATCCCCGATGCTATTTAATGTATATATAATAGATATAACCGATACTTTTTCAAGAAAGTTCATGAACGCGGACAACTTGATTTTAGTAGTCCAAACCAGAAGTTTCACAGAATTAGAGCGTACTCTTAATTAAGACCTAGAAAAAATTCAAAAATACTTTCAAAAGTGACACCTAACGCTTAATCCAAATAAGTCAGTAACAAGAACATTCATCTCAACAATCAGGATGCAAAAAAATAACTTGAAATAAAAATCGCAGGAAACAAAATCCCTACAGAAAAATATCCCAAGTACTTCTGAGTGAAATTCGACAGAATTCTAACATATAATCAACATTTGGAAAGCGTTAAAAATATGTTAAAAACACTCAATAACATCATGGCTAAGTTAGCCGGCACTAGCTGGGGATGCAACACCAATGTACTTCGAACTTCAGGCCATTGGTGTATAGTATCGCTGAATACTGCTCACCAGAATGGAATAAAAGTGCACACTGCAAAAAAGTTGATGTACAGCTGAACCACACGATGCGCATCATCTCAGAAACTGTAAAATCTAAACAAACGGAATAGTTACCGGTCCTGTCAAACATAGCCCTCCCTGACCTTCGGACACTATCACATACTACAAAAACCAACTTATATCTAAGCACAATTTAAAACTTGCCCTTACAAAAGGATATCCTGGAACACCCCCCGATAAGGTTAAGGTTAAGACATCCTATCTGGCGTACAGATGCACCTGAAGAGTCCATAGAAGTGCTATGGAAAAAACAGTAAGATCTATCAGAAACCCATAACAAAACCCTTGTACCTGACCCAACTATAAAAGTACCCGGATGGGATCTTACACGTGCCCAATGGACAACCCTCAACCGCATCAGGACAGAGCAGGGAAGATGTAATTACTTACTCCATAAATGAAGAATCTCTGACTCTCCACTATGGGAACGTGATGAAATACAATCTATCAATCACATAGTCCAGTTATGCCTTAATACGAAGTTTGAAAGAAGGTTAGTCCAATTGCACGAAGGCAGTTCGGTGGCCACCAAAGGCTTGACGAACTACTCATACAGCTGTGATATTTCTTTTACTTGCCAATCTACTTACCATAATTAACGGTGTTAATATTATTACCTACTATAACTATCACCACTATTATTAATTTATTCTATTTATTTTATTTATTTTTTTATTATTATGACTATTGTTTTGATGTTACATGTTTTGTTTAATTTATTCATTTACTCACTATTCTGTAATTATTATTATTACTTGTATTACGGATAAGTTGAAAAATGTCATATGCATAAATAAATAAATAAAAACAAAAACAAAAAATACTGAATTAGTATATTATACTACTTTAAAGTAGTATATTTTAATACTTTATACATACAGATCTGATTGATAAAAGAAAATACATATAATTGCAGCGTAAGATAATGTAAACATTCCAACCTATCTAATTCAGTAAGCGCAATCTAGTTATGTTTCAAAAATACCATGAGCTTAATAATATAACAATATAAGGTATCGGTTCACTTCCCCGTCGCCATTTCCCCGTCGAACATTTCCCCGTAAACACTTCCCCGTAAGACATTTCCCCGTCCAATACGATTTCTCGTGCAACATTTCCCCGTCTAATACACTACAATACAATCTTTATATGTATAAAATAACAGGCCTTTTTTATTTACCAATTTTTTGACGACGCTATTTAACTTTTTTCCAATTTTTTTTCACAGAGTTGTTCCAAATACCTTCCTGAGTATCACCACGTCGCCCTATTTTCAAAATTTTGATTTTAAAGGTTTGAAATCGGCAAAAATAAATTTATACATGTAAACTTTTTCATTTTTTGGTGACCTAGGAAATATGTTGATGTGTTTAATAAAGTTAAGTTTAATACATATTTTAACTAGTTAACTAAGCGAAACATGTCGCCCAGTAATTATACTCTGTTGATAGTATTTTGATAGAGTGAAATAAACATGTAATACTATAATCGTACTATGGTATTATACATTGACTATTTTGAGAAAAACATTTTTTGTCGTGCAGTGAAAATTCCATATAAAATGCACTGGTTTAATATGTTGATTTTAATAATTATTGATTGAGATTTATGTAAATTTATGTTAAATTTAATATTAAATAATTTACACTTAAAAAGACATTGCTTCCACAGCGTCTTACAACTAAAAAGAGTTTTTCCGGGCTACGCCGGGTAATATAGCTAATAATATAAACATAATAAAATGTTAATCTCAATAAAAAAATAAAAAAAAAAATAAAAATAATAAAATTTTGTTTAATTATAATAAAAAAAATAGTAACTTACATTTGTAAATTATGAGCAATTCCAATTAAATATTCATTGAGATTACGTCCATGGTAAGAACTTACAATTTTTTTAATCCGTGTAGTTGTATTGGTATATTTTTTCTTTTTAGCTACCTGTTCTTGTCCTGCTATTAATTGATTGATTTTTATTTCCGTTAACCCTTGTTCTTTTTTTATTATGTCTATTAATCGCCATATTGTTGGATGAGATGCACCTAACAATGACGAAAATGATCTGTGCCAACCTTCAACGGAGTTGTTTGTTTTAGGCAAATCTGCAAGTGTTGCATCGTATTGATTCCACAGTGCTAGACTAAATGTAGGTGGGCGTCGAGTTCTACGCCTATTTGGTCTGCCGATCCATGTATCTTCAAAGTAGTCTGTCAATGGAAACAATAGTTCTTCATTTTCTTCAAAAAAACTTTGGGACATTAACTCGTCAAATTTTTCTTCGACGTCAGATATTGGTATAAATGCTAAGGCCATTAACTGTTTTACATTTAAAGCAAAGTCAGCGTTTGAAATATATTTTTCTCGTACTTCAGGAATACACTGTATTTTTCTCCATACACATTGCCCAAAATGAAAAAAGCAGCCCCTTATTTGAACGTCCTTGAAAACGTCTGCAATAGCGCCAAATAGCGCTTGTTCAAAATCTACCATAATATTTGCTGGCCGTAAGTTTTTTTCTAAATTTAGAAGTTCTTGTCCAATCTTAGTATAACTATCACGTGTTTTATTTGGCACAAGTGCAAACACTAACGGTAATACTGTATCGTATTTTATTGCATGAATTGTAAGAAGTTGAGTAAAAAGTTGTGGGGATGACTTAAATGTACCATCAATAAACCAATGACACTGATCGGACATTAATATTTTTAAATTTTCTTCAGTTGAAAACAATAATATTCGATTAACATCATCAGAACCACTATCATAGAGGAGGAAGGGTTTATTGTTTAATGTGAGTGTATACGGCTCAATAATATTTATTTCTGTTAACATTGACGGATTTACGGGAGGTGCATTTTTACAACGCCTTAGTCATTGGACAGTTTTCTTCATTGTGGATACTGAAGGTAAAGCGCCAGAAATTGCTTGAGATGATATAGTAGATATAGTATTAGCAACTATTTGATGAGGAGTTGAAGTAACTTGACTGGATGCTGTCTCTTTTAACTCGTTAATAATAGTTCTAGTACTTATTTCTGTTATGTTGGGTGTATGGTTGTGAGTGTTTTTGTGTAGAACAACTTTATCATTTACTGTATGTATCCGTCCACGACACTTGTATATATTATATTTGATGCATTTCCAATATGTTTTTTCATATTTTGTATAGTCCTTTTCAAAAATATATTCCGCACATACTAATAAATTTTTTCCTTTGGTACTTTTTACGTAAGTCATTTTAAAATAGTAAAAAATAAATAAACTAACTGAAAAATATCTTATTTAAGTATAACGAATGTGACAGCGAATAACGAAAATATAACGACGCGACGGTTATCGAGAAACTGTTTCAATTTGTTAGTTTTGCTAATGCATACCAGATCCGATTTAGGATAATGTATATCGTACATCGATAACGTATATCTTTATAGGTAATTTATATTTGATAAAATCTATAAGAATAAATATATATCTACGTTAATTTGTCCGTACCTATACAGAGTACAATTATAAGCTATATAAACCTATTATACAGCGTGGAATTAAAATAAATTGTTTTATACTATCGTTACTTGTATATCACATATCAAATCGCTAGATGGGGTAGTATCGGACGGGGAAACGGTGACGGGGAAAATCGCTAGACGGGGAAATATTAAACGGGGAAACGGTGACGGGGAAATGTCTGACGGGGAAATGTATTACGGGGATCAGTCCATGACTCCAATATAAGCCCCTAGTAAAAGAGACTAAACGTTTTTTTAATTATTGAGTATTTAATTTTTTTATTTTTGGAATTATTAAATTATCGCATTCTATGCAATAAAAAAATAATAATTTTACATGAAGTTAGGTTTGTTAGTCATAATTGGATGCTTTTTTTGTGAACTTATTCCAATTTACTTCAGACTATTGATTTTGGGTCAACACAATGTATATTATGTTTTATAGCGATAGAATTATGGCAATCCCCTAAAAGAATATAGGCATTACACAGTGAAACATTTAATGCAAACATTTTATTATAATTTATTGTGCTTTATTTGTTAAAGGATTTTATTTCAATTAACTTAAAACAGAAACCATTTTTAAGTACAGAAAGAGTTGAAGCAGGTATGTAAACATTATTAGTACTCAGTATTATCGTAAATTGATTTAATTTAATTTTTCGAAGCAAAGTTTTATAATTATTTAATGTACCTATTAAATATTTCTGTAAAATACTTTTCATGCACCTCTGCAACTATATACATAATTTATAATTTATTTTTATCGAAAAAGAATTTAAAAAATCTCGTATAACATTTCGTATTCCATCAAGCAAAAGTTTTTGTTATTGTTGTTTAAACGTTGAATGTAAACAGTGAACTATAAGCCGATAATAATCCTGCATACATAATGCTATAAAAATCTGTCAGTTATTCTACTACAAAAATGTTACATACCTAATAACGGTTTATTAAACTTACCAAATGTGTCAAGGTGATAAACAAAAACAATCCTCCAGCAAAAGAAAACACAAATCCAGAATATTCCATGTTTCCCAAACAGATACCGATTACCAATCCAATAAACGCTGTACACGCGGATACAAAGTTAAAAGATAAAGCACGACGAAACGACATGCCGGATTGGATGAGTATAGCAAAATCGCCTAGAAAAACAATAATTCAAAATTATAATAATATGTAATATCATTTTGAAGTCGTATTGTGTGGCCACTAGCCTCAACTATTGTAGATTTGGAGGCGATAGTATACCATGCTTGAAAATAGATAATATGGTAGGGAAACAATTGATAGTATCAAGGAAAGAATAATTATAATTGTTTTATTAAAAAAAGTTAAAAAAAGATATATATATGTTACGGTCCAGGTGGATAAATAAGTCATTGTAATACAATGCCCGGATATTGTATACAATGTCTAAGATATTTTAACAAAGTAAATAATACATATTCAATTCCCATATAGACTAGTCATTCTAATACAATATCTAGTCATTGAATACAATGCTAAATCTGGTGTGGACAATGTGAATATTAGAGTTATTTTAAAGTATTATAGGTATTTTATAATTTCTTTTAGGCACTACGTTCTATGGATTATGATAACTTTTATCAGTGATGAGTAATGTCATTAGTAGATAATCGGGAATTTGTGGGCATTTTCAACATGCGCCGCAGGGCTATTCGTCGTCCATCAATTATAACAAAAATTTATATCGCAATTATTATTATCATGGGACGCTATGAAGTCATATTTGTCATAGCTGACAGTAAAAACACATACTGCCTTTTACATGTGCTGTTTAGTGCTGTGTTATAATTGTGTAGTATATTATATACGTGTTGTTTTTAAAATGGAAAATAAACTTATTAATCATTTAAATAATATTTTAGAGTGTTACGTGCAAACCGTTTGATCCGTTAATTCAGTTACAACGTCTCAGTCAACGCTTGATTGGAAGTGTAGTTAAGAATAATTAAGACTTTTTTTAAAATAATTAAATTTATTTAACTCATAAAATTATCTTAACTACAATTTTGTAAATATTCTATTGGTAGAAATTATCTAAGTCATAATAATTGTAACTTATAAAATGATTGAAATATTTCTAAGTCCAGACCATAACTTACACTGACGTGAAGGTGCTCAGTGCAGCATAGCCAAAATTCGTCTGAATTGCCCTTGTTTTCGGGTCCCTTTTATATGTGATATGGTATGTGTGTGTGTAAAATCCCAAGTGTGTGTGTGTAAATGAAATAAGATAATAAAATATGATAAATGTGATGAGTCGTTATTGATTCGGTGTGTGCGCTCTAAAATATGATAATTCTCTATTGATTCTGTATGCGTGTACTATCTCTTGACCGGCCCATACTTAATACAAGATCCAGGATGTGGTCAACCACCCACGTATATGTGACTCCGATATTCATATTCTTATTTAAATAGATAACCATGTGAACAATTTAACTTATTCACACGCCCAGTTTCGATGTTCATGAGAACCTCTTATAATGTGTGTTTTATACTATGTGACTACGCAGTACGCGACAAGAGTTTAAAAAACCTAACAGTACATATTTAAGTAAACTTAAATATGATTAACCTATATCACACTTAAAAGAATTAAAATCAAAGAAAACGAAAATTTCAAATGGTTATAAATTGATTAAGAAGTATGATACAATGAATGTTGCCGCCACACCGATGTATATAGTGTGCCGTGTGTTTGTCGCGCCGATCGTTTTTACCTCCACGTTATCATTCCGCGAGTGTGATATCGGTTCGTTCGTGTATGGTAGTGTGGAGGTAATGAACACGTTTTTTGCTGAGTTGTTTTTTTGTGGTTATCCGTTTTTATTAAAACAAAACTTTTCGCGTGTGCGTTTTTTACACCGGCGCGTTGTACGTTTTTGTATTATCTCCGCGTGTGCGTTTTTTACACCGGCGCGTTGTACGTTTTTTTATTATCTCCGCGTGTGCGTTTTTACACCGGCGCGTTGTACGCTTTTTTATTATTAATTCCAGTTCGGATACTTCGCGTGTGCGTTTGTACACCGGCGCGTTGTACGTACTTATTATTATTCCGTTATTTTCGTTTTAACCTTTCGCGTGTGCGTTCTATTACCGGCGTGATATACATTGTTTCCTAGTGCAACGTAAACACTCACAATGCTTGATTCAGGTCTCCTCTGATTCGGGTATTTATAATAATATTGGTTTGTTTTCTTCTTATTTTATATGTATAGTATGTACAGCATGGGTACCCATTTCTTCTTTTGTTCTTTTCTCTAAACCATTTTCTAACTTATTATAATTGTTGATATACTTAATATCATTATTGTTATTACTATATGAACTTGTGTTATTATTTTAGCAAGTAAGGTTATATCTGTTGCCCTTGTCCTCTCTTTCCGTGCGTCTACTACCCGTCGACGTACTGTACGGGATAGATCCTAATCAATGAAAGTCTATAATATAGAAAGACTTATTGTTCCAATAAATGAAGGTAACCAAATTAAATAATACGTGTATAACGAAGAATTTTTTAATATTCTCCATGAAACTCATTTTTCAATCGGGCACTGAGGTCGTTGTTTATGTAATAATTACGTAACATGTGCGGACGCTCGGTATCTTATCTTATTAAGATTACTATTCATATTATTATTATTATTTAAATGAGATATTGAGTTTGTTCGCGCATGGTACGTAGTTAATTAATGTACTATTTTTAATTGTCACCGAATTTCGGATTGTCGTCACCAGGCTAAATCCATCACGCCAACGGACGCCGTTATCGGTGCACCTACCTATAAAAGGCACGGTGGCGTGATGGAAAGTCACCATTTACTGTCTCTCCGGTGTTGTAGTAAGACCTTCCCAGGCAGACTTACACAACATTGGAAGACAGTATCCCCCCGACCTCGACGAACGATATATTTATGTTGGTCAGTGGTGTAATAGTCGGAGTTATTCTGGCATTGCATCGATCAGCATAACCATCGGTTTATGGGGCAATAGTCAGAGTAATTCCGGCATTGCACCGACTGAAGTATCGTTCGTTCGAGGTCTTTATTCCCGTCGACGCATTCGTTATTCGCATAAGCTCTCCGAGCACAAAATTATTCGTGTCATTAAAGCTCTCTGAGCACTATTCTTATAATAAAAAAAAATATAATATACACAATTTTTCTTAATCATTAGTGTTTCTTCTTTTTTTGTGCCTTTTTCCGAACGTTACAGTCGTAGTAGAATGGAACATGAGTTAAATAATAAATATAAAAATATAACAAGGGAGGCAATTATGTTATACCATAACTTGTGTGAGTCATGCCAAAAAAAGGGAAGTACAATTAAAAAGGGCTTAGTAGTCAAACCTATAATATCAAAAGAAATAAACTCACGATGTCAAATAGATTTAATTGACATGCATGCACAGCCTGATGGTAAATATAAGTTTATTTTAGTCTACCAAGACCATTTAACTAAATTTGTAAACCTACGTCCTTTAACTCATAAACGGGCAGAGGAAGTTGCATATATTTTACTGGATATATTTAAAAATGTTGGTACTCTAGTTATATTGCAAAGTGATAATGGTAAGGAATTTGCAAACAAGGTAGTAAAAGAGTTATGTAGCATGTGGAAAGACTTAAAAATAGTACATGGTAAACCTTGCCATTCACAAAGTCAAGGTTCTGTAGAACGTGCCAACCAAGATGTTGAGAATATGTTAGGAACGTGGTTGTAAGACAATAAGACCAAAAAATGGAGCGAAGTAAATCTTCACGGTACGAAGCTATGTATGGCTCTAGGCCTGAAATTGGATTAAATAATTGTATACTCCCAATGCATGTAGTAGCAAAATTAAAAACGTAAGAAGATTTAGAAAAAGCCTTAAACACTATTGAAAAGGAAAAAAACAAAGAAAAAAACAGGGACAATAAAGTGATTACAGTAGAAAATGGCGAAAATTACAATTCTGAGGAAGCTTTAAACTCTAGAAAACTTTCTATTCACACAAAAAGAAATGAATGTGTAAATAATTTATAAATGTAAGCAAATAAAATGAAATCTATCTCTGAAAGAAGGTTTTGTGAAGGAAACATTGGAGAATCGGTAAAAATAAAAATACCAGACGTAGATAGAGCTCGAAGCGACTTAACGATCAATTTTGGCAGTAATTATGTCAGGTATTATAATCAATAACATTTTTATTCGGTGGCGGTCAAACAGGGGGTTGGTCAGGTTTTTTAACCGCCACTGTTTTCATTATTATTTATTACTTAATATTTTTATTTCTAAATTAAATTTTTTTATAGTGGAAGACGGAAATTATAAATTAGGCACAACCAAAGGTAAATTACAACATTATTACAGTAGAAATCAATTTACCATTTGCAAGGAGAAGTTTGTAAGTGTTGATGAAATACCCGATATTCAGTTGTCACAAAGAGAAGTAGCTAGGTTGTTTTCATATCTAGGAGGCCAAGGTTATGACCACTGCACTTGTACTCAAAAATGTGAAACTAGAAGATGCAAATGTAAAGCAGCTGGAATTTTATGCAACTCCAAATGCCATAATGGTAATATTTGTAAAAATAAATAGATTATTTAATAAAAATGAATATAATTAATAAAATATTCTCCATTTTGTTTACGAATCTCATAAAAAGCATATTAAATAAAATTATATAATGATCATTAATTATAATATATATTCATCATAATAATTGTTCTCTTGGCACCTGTAGTACTAGCCGTTGTATACAATATCTGGTTTATGTGAATAATTATCTACTTGGCTTGAACAACTTGGATATTGTAAACTTTGTCCGGTCAGTGTTTACAATGACCATTTATCCACCTGGACCGTAATATATATATATATATATATATATATATATATATATTAAGGGGGGTGAGGGTCATGTCTTTGAATGTCATGTTTTCGAAGTTTATATTTTCGAATGACGAGTGTTAGAAAAGTAATTTGTTCGAATAGTATTGTAATCGAAAAACGATTTGTTCGAATAGATATGTGTTAGAAAAGTCGTAAGTACGAAATAATATATTGAACATCATTATTTTATTTTTAAACGTAAATTTTTATTACGTACCAGATTGATATCGTTTACTAAAA